CAGGCATGTGAAAAATCCTGATGGATGAGCACTGATTATTCTTCAGATTGTACTGCTCTCTGGTGGGACATACACAGAAAAACCATCACAACAAATGAATAACAATGATCTGATGTGACTGCTGACTTGCCTGCCTTACCTTCTCTGGGGTGACAGTATTTAGTACTAGAAAAGGTAATTTGTTTAATCTAGCTTCCCATAGAGACATCACCTGCAGGAGGCAGGCCACCCTGGGCTCCGCTCTCAAACCTGAGGTGGAAGTGAAAGTGCCTTGCACGCTCTCCAAAGGCACATATCCTGTTTGTGAATTTAAATACTTTCCTTGTAGATTCCTATAAGCATTTCTGGGAGGAAATTATCTATTTTATACAGATAAACACTCTTTACCTGAAGGCATACAATGCGGTTGGTAGTTGTTGGTATTTGGTATTCTGGCTTTGCTGTTACTGTACAAGGCAAAGATGAGGAAAATCAGGATCCAGTGTATGAGAATTTAAGCCAGTCTTTCATACTTCTGACAATATAGAAAATAAATTAGATATCTTTCTAGCATCCAAAGTACTTTCACTGGCACTTCAAAGTGCCTGTGAAGCAGATTGAATGAGCACTGACACTGGCTTTCTGGCAGCATGTCAAGACATCAGCGGTTGAGGATGCAAGGGCTGGAGCTCTTGCAGCACCACAAAGGGGAGAGTTAGTAAAAACAGGGCATTGTGCAAAGGCAGTTCCCCTGCTGCTGCCTCTTGCAAAACCAGCCTGTTAGAGTGCATGGCACCATTAGGGAGACAGAGCCAAAACTTTGTTGATGAACAGTTTGTGAACGATGAGTTCATAACAAGAAGTTTGTGGCTTTTGTGCGATTTCAGGTAAGGGCATCCATTCTCTTGGATCTGGAGTATGTGCCCAGACAGTACAAACACAACAAGTGCATTCACTGTCATGCAACTGAATTAATTAAAAGGGTTTTTTTTCTTCAGAAGCTTGTTCATTTTGTAATATAGAATTTTCACAGGAGGTGGGTGAGAATTTGATTCTGTGTTGCTTGCATTTTTTGTGATGACTTACGCTGCAAAACGAACATAAAGTGAACACTATACCAAATGACTGCACAGACTGAGAAGGTGGTGCTGTAACAAAGGCCTGAAAATTTGTCAGACAAAGTAAGGAGGACCCCTCAAGTAAAATGCCAAAGCTCCTACATAACCCAGTTGTTTGTGAAAACAGAGTTCACCTTTCCAATTTGGAGTTTCTCTGTGGTGCCTATTGTTTCAGTACTCGACAATATTGTTAGGTGGCTTAGCTGTTTGCATAGATTATTCTTACCTAGTTTGCATATTGGCATACATTTTCATGGATTAAAATCTTCAAATTTTGCAGATCTTTTGCTGGTATAAAGAGACCTGAACTGAAAGTATCCCTGGAGCCCAATGTGAATTATTTCTTCTACTTGAGGGCTGCCAACCCATTTGGGACAAGTGAACAAAGTGAAGCTGCTCTCATTTCAACTAAAGGTAAATGACCATTTTCTGATGTCAAAACGATGGGATGGAGGGGCAAAGCAGCCAAGTATGCCATTTTCCTTTGGAAATCATACTTGAACATTCTGATACAGGAGTGAGCAAGTTATTGAGATGAAAGGGACCATATTTTATCTGCTTAAAATTAGCACAGTCAGGGACTACTTCACTTGAAGTTGATATATTTATGTCAATATAAAACTGCTGTGACCTCAAAAGCAAAAGTGTTGAATTCTGTCAGAAATATTAAATTATTAAATATTCTTCAGGGATCTCAATTTGCCTGAGTTTGGCAAAGCACATTCTGATAAAAGATGCCATGACCTTTAAAAAAACCCTTACGATTAAAACCTTATGGACTTTGGGTTTTAGGGATGAGGAAGCATGCAGAGCAGCTTTAAAATGTAATGGATGATTTAAGCTTTAAGGTTTCAAGAGAAATAGTGTTAAATCATGTACGGTTCTTCCAAACTAGCCTCAAAATTAAAATTTGCTATTTTGAAAAAGCAATTGATTGAAAATTATTCAACCTTCTTGAATACTGAAAACTTCTTTATCACTTAGCTACATTAGACTGCCATCCCAATCAGGCACAGCCTGGAAGACTCCTTGCATTCGCACCCAATTTTCTGTCGCTCCTACCTGCCAGCAGACATAACTCTGTCCAGCTAAGATGGCAATAATTGTTGCTTAACATTTTATGATTCACCTCCTGTTGACGTTGCTAGCCTCTCAGAATTGGTGTTTCTTTGTCATGAATTGTACCAGGAACTCGATTTCACCTGCTGAGCAAGACAGCCCATCCTGCTTTGCAAATCTCCTCCAATGCGACGGTGATCTGCCTTCCTGAGAAAGCCAAATTCACTGGGTGAGTAGCAGCATGACGAGCACAATCATGCTGTGGGTGGGTTCAGGATGAGTCCCTTGCTCTTACTTTTGCCTGTAGGTAGCTTTCACGTGGCACTAACTGATTTTGCAGAAGAGCTGAATCATATCAGTCATGCAGCCCTGGACTTTGTGCAATTGACAGCCCCCCTGCCCCCCGCCCCTTTCAAGCATGGTATCTCAGTAAACCCAGTAGCAGCACTGAAGAAGGTGCTGGGAAGAGTTCAGTGTTACACTGAGGAACCACCAGAAAGTCAAAGGCAGTGGTACCTACTGGGACTGCTGGATTTGCCTCAGTCCATGGTCACTGCTCAATCCTGTGGAGCACTTCAGTCTCAAAGCAATTTGTTGCTGCCCTGAGAAGGCCAGATTTGTGGGCTTATTTTTGAATATATTGTGGCTAAAAGTAATCCATTTTAGCTACTTTGCTCCTCTACTGAGGGCATTATTAGTAACGTTTTCCAAAGCATCTGTGGCCATGCAGAACTAGGAAGTGTTCTAGTGGAATATGTTTAGAATGGTTGTACCAGGTTACCTTCATCCATTGCAAACATCATTTTTTTTTGACATACTGATATCAGTACCATCACAAGCACATGTCCACTTGTGTAAGTTGTGCCATACTGATACAGCTTCTTAAAGGCAATGTGGTATTATGTATTACTGGTTTAAGCACTTTTTACTGTTACAGCTGATTGCACACAAGATGTTTGTCACTGTGTCTACTTAAAACAGCCATACTTTCTAGTTTGAACAAGCCTTCTAAATTTGAGGTCCATTTTTTGGTTCCAAAGTCACCTTTTCCAGCTTTTGCTAGCTTTATATAATTGCATGGTTTTTACTCCTTAAGATAAGTCCATCTCAGTGCTGAGATTAAATGACTCTCAATGACAGCATTCAAATCTTTGATAAAACCCTGCAATTAGAAAAACAGAGTGCAATCTACTAGTAATTTTAGATGATGCTGCATGATGAGGCTGTAAGAAATATCACAATATGGTTGGTCTACCACCACTCTCATTTTACTGTACACCTATTTCACAAACAGGTTTCCTTCAGTCCTGGGTGAACTGCTGCCTGCTCGGGGACGCCATTACTGGGAAATCGTTGTCTATGCCTGCAGAAGCTACAGGATTGGGATTTGCTATGAAGCAACATCACGGAGCAGTGTCCTGGGGCTGAATGATACTTCCTGGTGCATGCACTGCTGTCCTACACAAACTAGGTAAAGCTGTGTGAGTCAAGCTGCTTGGGAAGTTCCTTGTCCTTCATGTAAATAAAGCTGGCCAGCTTCAAGAATCACAAGAGCAGAAAGGATCCAACTGCTTGCTTTCTGCAAATTTAAGTAATAAGAAAACAACAACAAAGGAGCTTTAGACTTCCATTTAAATTAAAAACTCTTATAAAGCACCTTAAATAAAATTCGTCTCAAGCAGACAACCTTACTGGCCTTTTCCCTGCCAGTGAATAAAACTTAAAAACCTAATCATAGAATCATAAAATCTTTGGGTTGGAAGGGAACTTTAAACATCATCTAGTCCAACCCTCTTGCAATGAGGAGGGACATCTTCAACTAGATCAGGTTGCTCAGAGCCCCATACATCTTGACCTGGAATGTTTCCAGTGATGAGACATCTATGACCTCTCTGGGCAACCTGTGCCAGGGTCTCACCACCCTCAGTGTGAAATGTTTTTTCCTTACATTGAGTCTAAATCTACCATCTTTTAGTTTAAAACCATTACCCCTTGTCCTACTGCAACAGGCCCTACTGTTCACGTCTTTCTTAGAAGCCCCCTTTAAGTACTGAAAGGCTGCAAAAAGGTCTCCCTGGAGCCTTGTCTTCTTCAGACTGAACAACCCCAACTCTCTCAGCCTGTCCTCAGAATATAGGTGTTCCATCCATCTCATCATTTTGGTGGCCCTCCTCTGGACCCACTCCAACAGGTCCATGTCTTTCTTGTGCTGAGGGCTCCAGAGCTGGACTCAAGACTTCAGATGGGGTGTCAGCAGAGCTGAATCCCCTCCCTCCACCTGCTAGCCACGCTGCTCTGGATGCAGCCCAGGATACGGTTGGCCTTCTGGGCTGTGAGCACACATTCCCGGCTCATGTCCAGCTTTTCATCCACCAGTACCCCCAAGTCCTTCTGGGCAGGACTGCTTTCAATCCCATCATCCCTCAGCCTGTACTGATAACCAGGGGTTGCCCTGAGCCAGGTGCAGGACCCTGCACTTGTCTTTGTGGAACCTTATGAGGTTCACACGGGCCCATTCCTCAAGCTAGTCCAGGTCCCTTTGGATGGCAACTCATCCCTCAGGCGTGTCAACTGCACCACTGAGCTTGGTGTCATCTGCAAACTTGCTGAGGGTGCACTCGTTCCCACTGTCTATGTCATTGATGAAGATATTAAACAGTACTGGTCCCATTATAGACCCCGAGCAACATCACTCAACACTGATTTCCATCTGGACATTGAGCCGTTGACCTCTGGATGTGACCATCCAACCAATTCCTCATCCACGCAACAGTCCACCCAGCCAATCCACCTCTGTCCAATCTAAAGAGAAGGATGTTATGGGGGACCACGTCAAAGCCCTTCCAGAAGTCAGACAGATTACATCTGTAGCTCTTCCCTTGTCCACCGCTGTGGTCACTCCATCCTAGAAGGCCACTAGGTTGGTCAGGCAGGACTTGCCCTTGGTGAAGCCATGCTGGCTCATGGACCTCCCTGTCCTCCATGTGTCTCAGCATAGCTTCTAGGAGGGCCAATCCACCTCTGTCCAATCTAAAGAGAAGGATGTTATGGGGGACCACGTCAAAGCCCTTCCAGAAGTCAGACAGATTACATCTGTAGCTCTTCCCTTGTCCACCGCTGTGGTCACTCCATCCTAGAAGGCCACTAGGTTGGTCAGGCAGGACTTGCCCTTGGTGAAGCCATGCTGGCTCATGGACCTCCCTGTCCTCCATGTGTCTCAGCATAGCTTCTAGGAGGATCTGTTCCATGATTTCCCCAGACACAGAGGTGAGGCTGATGGGTCAGAAGTTCACCAGGGTCTTCACCTGACTGCCATGACTTTTTAAATGTCATGGAGAGGCCTGGCATATCATGCCAGGCAACTACATATCAAGCCTGGCAACTACACCAGCCAATTCCCTCAGGACTCTGGGATGCATCCTGTCAGTTGCCATAGACTTGGATATGTTCAGGTTCCTCAGGTGGTCTCGAACCTGATCTTCTCTTACAATGAGAGGGACTTGACTCTTGCAGTCCATCCCCTTGAGAGATGTGGCAAGAGAGACTGCCAGTGAAAACTGAGGCAAAGAAGCCATTGAGTACCTCAGTCTTCTCCTCATCCCTTGTTACCACTCTGCCAGACTTGCTTGTCAAGGGGGGGTATGCTTTCTTTGAGCTTCCATTTCTGGCTGACATACATGTAGAAGTCCTTCTTAGTATTCTTTTCATCCTTTGCCAAGTTCAGCTCCAGCCGTGCCTTGGACTTCCTGACCCCATCCCTAGACAACTGGGCAGCGTCCCTGTACTTTTCCCAGAATATCTGTCCCTGCTTCCACTGCCTGTGCATTTCTTTCTTGCCCTTTAGTTTGACCAGCAGGTCTCAACTCAGCTGTGCCAGTCTCTTGCCTTCCTTTCCTGATTTCTTACAACTGATATTATCCCCCATCCCACTTTGAGTCTAGTTTAAAGCCCTGTCAATAAGCCCCATGATCTTGCGAGCAAAGACCCTCTTCCCCTTTGAGAAAGGTGAATCCCATCTGATGCCAGCAAGACTGGTGCTGAGTAGACCATCCCATTTCCAAAGAACCCAGAATTGTGGTCGTGACACTAGTCACAGAGCCATGTATTAATAGACTGGGCCCATCTGTTTCTTCCTATGTCGCTGCCTGCAACTGGAAGGAAGGAAGAAAAATCACCCTGTGTTCCAGATTCCCTTACCAACCATCCCAAGGCCCTGAAGTCTCTTTTGATCATCCTTGGACTATGCATTGCAGTTTCATCGCTACCCACATGAAAGAGCATTGCCACCCCACTGAAGAGGCTAGGGAGGTTTAGTGATGTCCTTAACCCAGGCCTCAGGGAGGCAGCAGGCTGCCCTAAGAGAAGGTCTGTCCAGCACGTTGGATGCTCTGTTCCCCTCAGAAGGGAGTGGCCTACAACTATAAGCCATCTTTTCTTCCTTGTGGGGGCAGTCATGATGCGGGGGGTAGCACCTCCGCTGCTACTGCTTTGTCATTCCAGGCTCATATCCCAGCCACATATCCCAAACTGCTTCACAAAATCCCAGCCAGTGTATTTATTTCCATAAATGCCGTCTTTTTAGAATCTATTACCATCTGCAGGAGATGTCAGGCCTCCATCGGGAATGCCTTCTCCTGCCTTTCCTTCACACCGACAGGTACCTGCCGCTGCGGCCGGAGTGCAGGGTGCTAGTCTTCAGCAGGCCAGTGCCAGGCTGCTTGGAGGTTTGTAAGGCATCTTGATCTAAACAAGTGTGCTTTTTTTAGTGTGAAATCATACAGATGCATGAACATAACTAGCTAAATGGAACATCTGAGGTGCAAAAGATCTTGCCAAAGCAGAGCTCATGCTTAAATGCCCACAAAGACATGTAATAAGAAAGATATAGATGAATATGACTACAGCAAGTCTGCTTTTATCCTGAGAGTCCAAAGATGCCAAGTGAAAGGGCTCATCAGAGTGCCAGATAGGGTGTTGAAGCAATGCCACATTCGCTTTTTTTATGGTACTGAGCAAAATGCTGTTGCCACATGACACACTGCTGTATGCAGCCACCTGTTAATATGTCGGAATTAAGCGGTAGGTTGTTTCTGGTAAATTGCCATGAGGAGGCTCACTGAATTTTGGTTTCTATTTTCCCACAGCTTTCTTTACAGATTTCTTCACACCGGTATGATGAGCGATGTCCGTGTGACAGAACACCCGTCCAGAATCGGCATCCTGTTGGATTACAGTGGTGGCAGACTGTTGTTCTTCAATGCAGAGAGAGGACTGGTGCTGTTTTCCATCAGGCACAAATTCACTGATGCTGCTCACCCAGCCTTTGCCCTGGAGAAAGCTGGAGCACTTACCCTGTGCACGGGAATGGAGCTGCCGGAGTTTGTGAAGCACAGCTAATTTCCTGCTTCACACTGTCAGAAAAACTGACTGTCAGGGGACAGGGAGGAGAAGAGAGGTGCCAGGAACGGATGTCTAGTCTTCACTGATGAATGCTGCTCACACAGCACTCCCCCACATCGTTAGTATTTGTAGTTAGTGCTCAGCCATGTAATCACCTTGAGCCTGGAGAGAAAATCAACTCCTTCAGACGGAGCATGCACCTAGTGATATACACAGCAGTACTTTTGAGGGGAAAAAAAGTTTTGTTAGATATGAACATTAAGAATGGAGGGAAATGTACTTTCCCTGTGAGAACAACAACAGTTCTAACTGTCTTTTTAAAGTTGATCGTGAGCCTGTGTATGAAATAAATGCATTTCTCACTGCAATACATGAAAGCCATCATTTCATCATTTGCCAGGACAGTCAAAGCCTGAATCCAAGACGATGTGTTGAAAAATGTGCAGAAATTTCAACAACTGAAACATTCTGCAGGTTAATATATCTTGTGTTATTGTTTGCCAGCTCTTTTCTTTAAATGCATAAATTAAGAAAACTTGGAAACTTAGAAATCTACATATTTGCAGAATGAGTGAGTCCCAGACTAGTCTTCATATCAGTCATGTGAAGTTGGAGTATGCAACACCTACCTGCCCTGCTCACAGCAGACTAACAGACAGCTACCTGACTGCATCAGTAAATATCAATGCCTGTTAATAGGTACTCATGAAACATACGTATGAGGAAACGTGGTTACAATCATGTTGGTAAAAGCCTTCCCCTATGTTTTTCATCCTCAATTTGTTGGGAAAGTGGTTTTGTTGGTGCAGGGAAGGTTGCCACCCAGGACCTTAGAGAACAGTCCAATTGCCAGTGACCTTCTTGCAGATCACCCCTTTTCCATCACTGTTTTTTGCCTTTGCAGTTACAGATTTGGTGCTCCTAATTTCAGGGTTGTGGACATTTTCCTGTGTCTGCCTTGCTCTCTCCTGTTACCTACATTAACATCAGTATCATGCCAGTGAGGTGCAGTGTTTCAGGGCAGTCAAAACAGGTAGACTAAAAACGGTTGATGCCAGCAGAGGAATAGGGTACTGATTTTCCCCCTTGGCATTTTCGGGTGGTTTTTCCAAGCAGTTCTTTTCACCTGCCTCAAGGGCTGAACACACAAATGCCACTGGTGCCAAACACTAGTGAATGCTGGGGAGAAATTAATCTTAAGGCAGACATACAATGCTTTTCATGCTGTGCTTGCTCTGGAGATTTCTGCTGCAGGGGACTGTGCTGCTGGACTAATTTCTGAGCTCAGCTGAAGAGCTGTACACCCTGAAATAAAGCAGGTTTCAGGAGTCTAATGGAGAGGATTTGCCTGTGAAGAGAGGACTGAAACGAGTTACAGAGAGGCTTCTAATTTTTATGCTCAGAGGAGGTGCCTGCTGCCATTTTATTTATGATTTAACACCACCAAGGCTTGTGCTTGCTGCTTTAGCCTGCTGTATGCTTGGTGTCCCAGAGGAGCCACACTCCACACTGTCATAGCAGGCTCGGGCGAGATAGTTGTGGCAAGGTAAACAAGATACTGTGACCATTTATTTTAAGCCAGAGCTCTTTCTGGCATTTCTGTTAAAAAGTGCCAATTCTGAGTTCTTGCCGGGGAGAGAGAGGCAGGAAAAATTAGGGTAGTGCCCTGTTGGCCTAAGCAAGTGTTTTGCAGAGGTGTGGAGGATGGTGAGAAAAAGGTCCAGGATTAACTGGGAAAGACAGACAGAAAGGATATTGTGGGTTAGCATTATCATGAAGGCTGAGGAGGATGAGGAACAAGGCAGGCTGGAAACTGATGCAGAGCAGATGGTGATAAACTAAAGAGGCAGGTCAGTGGTGTTGGCATGGTGCATTTCTCAGGATCCCACAGCCAGTGAGCTCGCTGGAGGTATGGCTATCTGTAGAGTTCAGTGTGTCACTTTGAACTAAACCTAGAAAATACCAGCTTTGGGGCAATTTTACCTGCGTTCTCCTCACCCTGGTCACTGCTGTTCCTAGTGTGGGATTGCTTCACAGACACCAACATGATGTATTGCCAAGGGGACAGCCACTGAGAAGGAGACCAAAATGACATGAAATTATTTGGGTGATTTTTTCAATAAGAGCAAGAAGCAGTTGCCTTGTTGAAGGCAACTGCATGTTAGTCAACAGCGGTTTTAACATGAAAAGCAAAGGCCTCATTTATTGCCACACATTATTACTCAGATATTACTGCAACATTGGAACTTGGCGAAGTGTTTGTGTCAGAGGCACCTCTTTCTTAGAAATATTTGGTGCATTTTGGAAAACTGCCTGACACTGTTTCCTTGCTAGTTTTTGTATATGGTTCAGTTTTTAGATTGGGCAGTATCAAAAAGTGTATTTAATGTTTATGTGAAAGCTGGATAAATTAACTGAAATAGAAAATGTCACCCAGCGAGTCTAAGCAGTACTAATTTCAATGTCTACATCTGGTCTGCATTAAGCTATGCCAGATGAAGAAATGTCTGCAGAGAATATCCTGTTTGGAGAGATGGAACAAAGTACACACTAAACACAAAACAATATACAGGAGTTAAGATGCAGTATAGGGAGAAAATTCTTAATAGCGAGCAGAGCAGATCCTGCGAGCCACAATTAAGCTCTAGGACTTACAATACACGGTGCAAACTCTCCTGCCCTTGGAAAGCCGACAGGTACATCTGCTGCAATCTTTTACTTGCCTGATGGGCATGAAGTGGCACCAAGATCAGGAATTCACTTTCCAGAAGGTAACTGTCCACAGACACTTGAATATACAATGCAGTCTGTATGACTTTGCATGCAGATGAATTGAGATTTTGAGGCTTGTTGCATCCATTTTTTTCTGGCCATTGTAGTTTGTAACCTAGTTTGTGACTGGGACAAAAAACTCCCAGTCATAGTACTTTTCTTGTGCTCGATGAATTTAGCATTTAGAAGTACCTCAAAAACAGCGTGACTTATTTTTCAGCCAAGGATGTTAGTTAGCTTGGCTGATTGTAACTAAGACTTTCTGCAAATATTGACAGGGTTTTGTGGTATGTGTACATGGTCTGATCATCATTCCACACTTAGAATTACATAGAAATACATTTTAAGAGTTACAAAAAGAACTGTAAAAGAGTTCACCAGTAATTTGGGGTTCATTTTCATCCTGGAAGTAGAGAAGTTGATGCCTAACACTGTAAGTACTGTTAATAAATATTTGGACCGATCTGAAACACATTTCATTAAAAGGAATTATTTCTTTTCACTTCAGCAGGTTTTAGGTTAGGCTTGTAAACCCTTGTGCACTGAGATGAGAATGTAGGCCTGACTCTAAGAAGAGAATAATTAATTTCTACTGTCAAAATACTACTGAACTGGAATATTGCTAGTATCAGTAGTATTGATCCACAAACCTCACTTCGGTCTTTCAGCTCCAGAGAGAGTTTAATGCTTCCGTGCCATGTCAGGCGGAGGAACCTGGCGATGCGTCTGCAAACCGCCGCGCACACGCGGTGCACGTGCATACAGGCACAACTTTGCTCTTGCACTAGCTCTTTTTAAAAAGGGAAATGTCACCGAAATACACTTTGTACTGAAAGTTTGTACTGAAAATGGTCTAGTGACGCCTTATTTTAGAAAAAGGTGCATTAACACCCCTCCACTCCCTAGTACTGTGGAACTTAATTACATATTATCACTAAGCCTGTTGTAAGACATAGACCCAGTACGGCACAGTACCAATAAATTGTTGCTAAATCCACAGTACTGTTGCATTGTCTAGTATACATGTGAAATATGATTTCTATGAGCACTGCAGGATTTTGAATAGGTACGTAAAGATGGATTTAAGAATAATAAGAAATTATGATCTTTTTGAATCATCCTCATTTCAGAATAATAAATAAAACTTCTGCCATATAGAGGTTTAAATTGGATTTGAAAAATCACATTCTGTGGTAGAATCACGATTACATTACTGTCATTTTGCTGATGGATTTACTAGCTATCAAGAAGCTCAGTATGCTCAGATAGTCACACAACCAGCAAGGAAGTGAGAGCATCTCTTCCACTTCCAGCCACATGCTGTGGAAGAGAGAGAGAACTAGAAATGTACCTTCATTTTTCATGTTGAGTTTATCCAATTTTCTGCCATAGTGGAAAGTAGCACTTGCTGACCAGAGGCCACTCCGCAGCACAATTCCTACCAGGAGCACAACCTGGGAGGAAATGGAACAGATATCCACCCCAGACCCTGCAATGATTTTGTCCACAGTGAAAAGGTCCATCACTTCAAGTGCTGTTCCACTCTGGAAAATATCTGTGCAGAAATGACACGTTCCTTTTCAGGACTTGTACCGCAGAAGCACTGTATTTCTAACACATACTCTTCTCAACCCTGAAGAAACAGTGCTGCAAGCAGAGGTGGAAGTCACCCATGGCGCTGCTAGTGCAGTGGGCAGCTGAATTTCAACCTGCCAGACTGCTACCACACTACTGAGGAGTGAGGGATGGAGAGCTGGACCCTGGCCACAGCAGGTACAGGAGAGAACTGGCTGAGCAAGAAGAAGCAAGAAACCAGCGTGGCAGAAGGAGGCCTTCATCCGAGCATCACTTTATATCCCAGCCTTCTGAGGCTGTAAAAGTCTATCTCACGTCACTTCATGAGCCTGGCTCAGAAGACATGGTGAATATGTATGTGTATGCTATCTTTTAAAAAAAGAGAAAATTGCTGAAAAATGATACTTGTAGCATGAAGTACAGCCTTGAGGAAAAAAGTAACAAACACAAATAAACTCTGAATTATTTGTAACAAGAGAGGGAGCTTTGCACATGCCCCAGCAGCATCTGCTGTTGTTGGCATCCCACCCTGGCTACCAGTATCATTCTCTTTACCCATGATGGCTTTTTTATCTGAAACACATATTATTAAAAATACCGTGTGCCGGATGTACCGCTAGCAGTGTAAGTAGCTATTAATTGACTGCTAGTGCTTAGGAAGGAATCTGTATCAGTATGTAA